GGTATGTAAAATGATATGCATATATTTTATAGATATAGGATGTCAAAAATATGTGTTTGTAGTTGCGTGCTTAAATACATATGTGTGTTTCTATGTGTATGCTCTTATGGTTAATTAATTGAAATCAGGTGAATGTTCATATGTAGGTAAGAATCTGCTCACTGCAAATCCAATGACACCTTTACAGTCGATTTTATCCATTCACTTCACTGAATAAAGATCCCTTTAGTACTTAGTGCCTTTTACAACAGTTTAGATGGAACTGGAGACCATTATCCTAAGTGAAGTATCCAAATAATGGAAAAACAAACACCCCATGTACTCACTATTAAATTGGAACTAACTGATGAGCACACATGTGCATAGAGGGAAGTAAATCTCAAAGGAAATCAAGTGGGGAGAGGGGGAGATGTGGAGGTGATGAGCAAAACCTACCTAATGGGTACAATGAACACTACCTGGGTGACAGGCACACTTTTAACCCTCACTCAAGCACTACAAAAGTAATACGTGCAACCAAAAACATTTGTAGCTCCATAATACTTTGAAATAAAAAAAGATCCCTTTAGTTGAATACAATAAGACATTACTTGCTTACATTTAACATGATGCATGCTTATTATATTTCATATAAATTATAGCATTTTTAAATGATAGAAGTCAAAGCATCAGTATTTTTGAATGTCTATTAAAAATCAAATCTGTCCTTTAAGATTAAAAAATATATACTAATTCATAATTGGCTGCTTATCATTCTTTGTTTAAAGTCCTTAATGAAGTGCACATGTATGATCGTATACATGCATATATGTAGCTTATAAAATAACATAGTATATCCATACTCATAACTGTGATTGTGAAATTGACTCCCTCCTTACCGGATCTCCTCTTTGTCCTGCATCTCCAGGAGCACCGACAGGGCCAGGAGTTCCAGGGGCACCCTGAGAGCCTGGCAGACCTGCAGGCCCGGGGTCTCCACGATCACCCTGACAAAAATAACTGTGTCATTATTCTTTTAACTTTTAGTCTAAAACAACAATATATGTTCAGACTATTCATACAGTAATAGAAAAAATACCTTTAACAACTTACTTTACTTA